GCAAATTTATGATTGATTACATGAAAAATTTACAAGTATGATAATTTAGGTGTCATTATTACCACACGGCTTGGAGGCCGCACAACCCGTTCAATGCAACAAATACTAAGTAATTAAAAAAAATTCACTTTCCGTTAAAAGTCGCACTTCGTTTTCTAAAGTAAGTTTTTGTCTTCCTTATCTTCCTACAAATTATTTATTCTTCTTTAACAAACGTAATAATAAACAAATAAAAAATAAAATCATTCATTTTTCTGGCGTTATCATATATTTGGGTTGTTATAAGAGCTAAGCTTATTTTTTTTTTAAAAAAAAAAAGGTGAAGGATTTTAATTTTTTAAGATAAAGGCGAGGTAAATATATGTTTACTGATGCGTCACTGAACAATTTTATTCAGACTCAAGTGAAAAGTACTTTATAAGGTGTCAAAATCATGATGTTGATCACCCAATTAATCTTTTAATTTTCATATTAAATTTAGTAAAATTACATATAATGCATATAATGAACTTTTTTTTGCCTTAGAGCTGACGAAAATCGCGCTCACACTCAATAATACATTATTATACTTTTTAACCTTTTTAGGATCGAAAAGAGAAAAATTCCGTACTTAAAGAAAAATAAACAAAAGTTGAAAAGAAAAGAAAGAATATTAATAGGCCAATAATGGTTCCTATACTCTAATATAAATGAAAGAAAAGAAAATATCAGCAATCATTATTCTATTTATAAAAAAATTGAATTTGATTATAAAAGAAATAGTAATCTCGTGATTAATTATCAATCAATTGTTCATCAACGATCCATTACAAGAATTGGTTAGATCCATTATTAAAATAGAAATTCATTAAGCCATTTTACAATATGGAAAAAATTTAAGCCGAGGGCTTTATATAAAATGAGAATATTTTTCTTAGAACAATTGTTAAAGTTTCTTATTACACAATGGTTTTAAAAAGAAATTTAGAACAAGACTTAACAGTCTTGGAAACTAGAATTAAGGAATTAGAACAAAGTAACGAAGGGTTACGTTTACAATTCAAAATTTTAGAGGAAAAGTTCAAAGAACGAGAAGAAGAACTAAATCCGAACAAGAAACTATTAAGAAATTAGAAAAAAAGATTAAAGAGCGAGTAGAAGAAACCAAAACCAAGCAAGCAACTATTAATAAATTAGAAGAAAGGATTAAAGAGCGAGATGAAGAAGCCAATATCAAACAAGAACTATTAATAAATTAGAAGAAAAGATTAAAGAGCGAGAAGAAGAAGCCAATATCAAACAAGAAACTATTAATAATTTAGAAAAGGTTATAGAAAACAACCATGAATTAGAAAAAAGGATCAGAACCCTTGAATCATTTATTTATGATGATACTGTTGTTAGTTTAACCATTACAGAAACAAATAAGGATGACATATTAAATGCCTTAGGCGGATTGCAAAGATATCGAAAATTAGCAAAACTCACTTGTAAAATTACCAGCTTACCAACTTTACCCAGTCCTTTAACGGAACTTAATTGCTCTAATACTCAAATAACTATCCTACCAACTTTACCCAATTCCTTAACTCATCTTTATTGCTCTAATACTCAAATAACTATCCTACCAACTTTACCCAACTCCTTAACTACACTTTATTGCTCTAATACTCAAATAACTATCCTACCAACTTTGACCAACTCCTTAAAGGTACTACATTGCTCTAATACTCAAATAACTATCCTACCAACTTTGCCCAACTCATTAACTTAACTTTATTGCTATAATACTCCAATAACTTGCTTACTAAATTTACCCGATTCCTTAAAATATATAAACCCTCGAATTTTAGAAAATCGATATATCAATAATCTTTAACTTTCTACATAACCTTTCTTTTATGTTCATTTTTTCTTTGTGGAGGTGTCTGCATGATAAACTTTATTTTGTCCTTTAAATAAGCGAATATTTAAGAAAATTTATGGAAATTTTTGTCACGATTACATTAATTGATTTTACAATAGAATATTATTTTACTTTAATCATTAAGGAAATGAGATCAAATCAAAGTAATGAAAGTGAAAGCTTAACATTTAATATACAGTTTGATTTATGAAATTACACATTTAGATATTTTCGAAAATAAGGAAGGATTATAAATCAACTAATGAATTTATGAATATTTTTCCTCTCGCAATAAATGGAGAACAAGAAAATTACCTATTTAAATCCGTATTTGTTTAATTTTAATTCATTATTTATTATATGTATAATTTAAATAAAAAAAAAAATGTACTTTTTTAAATTGCTTTGAATATTCGAAAAAATAAATCAATGTTTAAAAAGTTATTACATAATAATTAACATTTCTAGCAGTATAATAATTCTAAATATAAGTAAAGTAGCTAATGATTTTTGTAACAAAAAGTTGTAACTGATTATCTAACAGTTCTGACTTTAATCCCATAGAAAATTTATAACAATTATTAAAAGAAACATTGAGATATAGTAGTTACAAAATATTAGAATTATTAGACTCAACTAAAACCATTTATTTCTCAGAAGCATGTAAAAGGAACTGTTTTGCAATCTCTTTAAGATTCATTGATCTTTTATTTCTTTTTAGTTGTTTATTTTTGACAATTACTAAATTATTAAAGTTAATATAGCCGATTACTATTTATTGTTAAAATTAAAACTTTTAATATAGTTCAAACTTTAATTGTATGCGAATTCATTATATAATCAAAAGAAATTTCTGCAATCCTATATTTTTTAGACGACAAGACATATTAAGTTATTATTGTATTAGTATTAAAAGTAATCATGAAGTTCTCATAGATTTAATTAAATGGAATACTCTCTAAAATTCATAAAAAGAATCATATATTGATCAAATCTTTGGTAACTAGTATTAGTTAAGAAATTGAATGACTCGTGTTACTACCTCGCCTTTATTTCTACCTTAATGACATTTGAAAGACTTAGAAAAGATATGAAGTACCAACTTTTAATTTAAATATCGTAGGAATGTATTAAAAATTAATTTGAAAGGAAACTTAATAA